CGAACCTTCGTATGTTGTTTGATGTAAGTGTGAGTCTCTGTAAATATATCTTACGAGATCGACTGAGTCAAATAATGAACATAATGCAGGGCCTTTAACAAGGGTAGCATTGAGACCAAGTAGATGGTCCCCTGTTTTTTTTTACTTAGGTAAGGTCATGCAAAGTAGTTTCAATAGTCTGTCGCAACAATTGAATAGCTGCGACAAGTTGCCCAAAGTTAAGTTAGATTGGATCATTAAGTTGCAGAGTTATGCTTGGTACTATCTGGGATGATTCCAAGTATTCTTCTCTAGTGCCTGTAATTGGCTTGTACATCGCAGGAGCTACTCTGGTATGTTTCTTATTCATGCTTTATGATATTATTTATGGATTTCGGCGTAAGAAGCACTGGCTACCATGTCGATTGTTCTCACTTAACTCGCTCACATTGACTCTACTTGCTATAGCTGCAAAGATCCCAGTAGATCTTACAACATCCATGCCAAGTGCTTTAGACCAGTTCTCCAAACTTACCGGGACTACCATAATATGCACATCTATGGCTCTTCTCTTGCCTTCTGTTGGATCCACCCAAAGTTCTGATAGTTTAACAAACATGGCTTCCTTGAGCATTTTTGTGGTGACTGTTGTTGTCAACATTTGCATACAAATTCGCACTCGTGTTATTGTCTTGTTCATTTCAGAACATATTATTATTATGTGTTGTATGTTATTGTTGTTGATCTTGTTGTGGGACTCAGCTTTGGCTATTAAGAGTCACAAGGATATTGTTCTTGATGTTCACAAAGATCTTCTAAAACAAAATTCAAGCAGTCTGTTATGGCGACTCAAGTTGGCCTACATGTGTTGTTTTAACCACAATCCCCAGTTATTGCTATGCAGATACCGTAGTCATTCTTTGGCTGCTTCCTTATGCATACTTTGTTTAGTTGTCATAATCCAAGCTGCATTTAGATTTCTTAGTATGGAGTTTTGTCGAGGGTTTTCTCAGTATGGTTGGTCAATATGGATAATAGTGATGACACAGATTGTAACTATCACCCTGGGAGCCTTTGCCATTAACTTCAGAAGGTTTGCATTGTTCTTTAACCTCAATGATGAGGTTACAGACATCCAGGATGCATATGATCAGATCTATCAGAATCCCTTATTAAGACCAGATTTGAGGGATCGTTGCAAACACTATGCCGTAGACTACCCAATTTTTGTAGTAAAACTCTTCTTGTTCATTGTTCTACATTCGGTAGGATATTTTGTTAAAATTTTCCTTTTATTCATTTTTTTTAATAAGTACTCTGATGAAGAATTTGAGAAACATGACGAGGTGGAGGAATACATGGTTACTGTTAATTTCACTTATGGTTTGGTACCAGATAAGAGGTTTTTAGTTAAAAGTGTGGATGACATGAAGAAATGGATGGAAGGTATTAGCAAGAGTGCGTCTTTAAATCATATGTTCCAGCTCCTCTTAAAAAGGCTTCCCTCTGCAAGAGCATTAGGACATACCAATACCATGGAAATCAAAGATGAACTTCATCCTGACCAACAAGTTATTAAAGTGACGTCTCTTTCAATGGTGTTGCTTGTAAGAATTGCTCAAGTTTCCATTCCATCCAAACTCAGTGCGTCTCTCAAAGAAGCATACAGCGAATCCCATGAAATCATTCATTTTATTTTTGATAGTATAAATTCTGTCACCTTGGTGAATAGAAAGATATCTCAACTTGCACAGGATTTATGGAGAGGTGATGACTTTAGCAGGTTTCTTCCAGAGTTATTTGTAAAATATACAAGTAGGGTAAGAAATTCACCAGCATTTTTATCGGAATTTGATCGAGCTCGTGTGATCATCAACGAATTACCAAACATGATGCGAGATTTTGAATTCAGTCCTCTTATGAACGAAGGACTTTATGGAAATTTTGCAGAGAATGCAGTAGCTGTCATAACAAACTCTATTAACTGTCGTGAGTACTCATCCATTGAAGATTTGTATAATTACATTGAACAGTTGTTTGTGGACATGTTGCATATGGTTCTAGCTCAACTCCCGCTTGCTATATTCAAATATGTAACAGAGAGCCCAGCAGAAGAAATCGAAGAGAGAGTAAAACTTGGTTTGAAGATCCTTTGTCAAGTTGAACCATTGGAAACTCATATTCGATGGCTATATCCAGCACCACAAGGTAACGTCTCCAGTTCAATAGCACCACAAGGTAACATCTCCAGTTCAATAACAACTAGTAGTGATCAGCAACAAGTTACTGGCAATGGTGTTGACAATTCTGTTTGTGTTAGAGAAGATATTGATTAATTGTTAAGTCCTTCACCCCACATGATGAAGTTGTAATGGTTCAAAGTAAATGCTTGGAAGTTGGAATCAGCAAGTAAAGTTTCATAATCACATTCACCAAGTGTACTTAAGGCCATTAGCATCTTGTGTATATATTACATACTGTTGTTCCTTCACTATGAGCTGCGAGCCAACTCTTCCGTCGTTGCTTGTATTTGCCTCATTATGTGTTTCGATCTCTATTATATCTGCCCCTACCCATTGTTTATATCAATAGCTTGCTTTGAGTCTTCTGATACCTGGATGTTCTGACTTTCAGTTCTCTTGCTATCTCTACTTCTACTTCTTTCGTTATAGCTTCTAGCTCAATGCATAGTATTGTTTTCCCCATTGATCCTCTCTTGAATGTGCATAGTACTTCAACTTTCTACTTTCTCCACTCAACCATACTTCCCTTCCTGGTCTGTGAGACTTCCATCTGTATGCATTGCCTTGCACCCTAGTGGCAGCCTCTCCCGTGTGCAACTGCAATAGTGGCGGCCTCTCCCGTGTGCAATAGTTTATAGCATAAATTAGCATTAAAGCTCAAAATCTTTTCTAAGCCTTCTATTCCTTACATTGTTTTTTACATTGATCTTCAAGCCATGAAGTCTCTGTTTGATTGCTTGGCAGGCACACTTAATTAAACCTTGTTGAGTGTTCTGCCTGTTGCTGAAGATCTACTCATTCCTTCCCTTCCACAACACATACACTCGCATTAACTGCTACTCTGCAGATGTTGTTCATCAAGTCCTCTCCCCTTAGTTGAATTAGCCACTTCAATTCCTTAACCTGTTCTTCTCTTTCCCTGTAGATTGCTCTGCTAGTATTTGAGTAAGGTATTACTGCATTTGACGTTCCCAAACTGTAATGATTTGTATTAAGTGAGCATAACACACAGACTAATTCATATTCCCCACGTAGTGTAAGTTTCATCCAAATACAGACATACAGTAGTTATTAACATTTCATATATACTTCATAAAGAAAGTTATTTACAAAGTATTACATTTTTAACTAAATGTCCTTTAGAACTGTGTCAAGGTTTGCAAATGTCCTTTACAAAGTATTAAACTTCTTCAAGCATAATAAAGGTGGTGATTTTCCAGCCATAGTTGGCCCAATTTT